ACCGCCACCACTACTACTACTGCCACCACTACCGCCTACTGTGTGGCTTGATGGTCTTCATGTCAGTCACTGGATTGTTCGAGACTCGATTACCACCGTGTGATGTTGTGCCCAGAGTGACAACTAACACAAATTAAAACCACCACCGCCACCACTACTACTACAACCACCACCGCCACCACTACTACTACAACCACCACCGCCACCACTACTACTACAACCACCGCCACCACTACTACTACAACTACAAACACCACTACTACTACTACACCACCACTACTACAACTACTACTACTACAACAACCACTACACTACACCACCACAACTACTACAACCACCACCGCCACTACTACTACTACAACTACACTACTACTACTACTACAACCAAAACCACTCACTACTACTACAACCACTACCACCACTACTACTACAACCACTACACCACTACAACTACAACCACTACCACCACTCCTACTACAACCACAACCACCACTACAACTACAACCACCGCCACTACTACTACTACAACCACAACCACCACTACTAATACAACCACCACCACTACAACTACAACCACCGCCACCACTCCTACTACAACCACAACCACCATTACAATTACAACCACCGCCACGACTACTACTACTAAACCACAACCACCACTACTAATACAACCACCGCCACCACTACTACTACAACCACCACTACAACTACAACCACCGCCACCACTACAACTACAACCACAACCACCACTACAACCACTGCCACCACTGCTACTACAACCACCGCCAGCACTGCTACTACAACCATCACTACTACTACTACTACAACCACCGCAATACTACTACTACAACCACAACCACCATTACTACTACAACCACAACCACCAATACTACTACAACCACCACTACTACTACAACCACCGCCACCACTACAACTACAACTACACTACTACAACCACAACTACTACTACAACACAACCAAAACTACTACTACTACAACCACCACCACCACTACTACACCACCACTACTACTACTACTACTTAACTACACTACACTACTACTACAACTACTGCCACTACTACTACTACTACAACCACTACAACCACTACTACTACAACCACTAATACCACTACTACTACTACAACCACCACTACTACTACAACCACTACCACAACTACTACTACTACCACTACCACTACTACTACTACTACTACAACCACCACTACTACTACTACTACAACCACTAACATCACTACTACTACTACTACACAACCACCACCATTACTACTACAACCACAACCACCACTACTACTACTACAACCACCACTACTACTACAACCACCGCCACCACTACAACTACAACCACCACCACCACTACTACTACAACCACAACCACCACTACAAGTACAACCACCGCCACTACTACTACTACTACAACCACAACTACACTACTACTACTACAACCACAACTAAAACTACTACTACTACCACTACCACTACTACTACTACTAACTACACTACTACTACTACAACTACTACTACTACTACTACTACTACTACAACCATCGCACCACTACTACTACTACTACCACCACTACTACTACAACTACAACCACCACTACTACTACTACTACTACTACTACTACTACTACTACTACTACTACTACTACTACCACTACTACTACTACTACTACTACTACTACTACACCACTACTACTACTACCACTACCACTACTACTACAACCACTACTACTACAACTACCACCACTACTACCACTACTACTACTACAACTACTACTACTACAACACCACTACTACTACAACCACCACTACTACTACCACCACTACTACTACTACTACTACTACAACTACCACTACTACTACAACACACTACTACTACTACTACTACTACTACTACTACCACCACTACTACTACTACTACCACTACTACTACAACCACCACTACTACTACTACAACCACTACTACTACTACACCACTACTACTACTACTACTACTACTACTACTACCACTACTACTACTACAACTACTACTACTACTACTACTACTACTACCACCACTACTACTACTACTACCACCACTACTACAACCACCACTACTACTACTACAACCACTACTACTACTACAACAACTACTACTACAACCACCACTACTACTACTACTACAACTACTACTACTACTACTACCACCACCACTACTACAACCACCACTACTACTACTATTACAACCACTACTACTACAACTACCACTTCTACTACAACCACCACTACTACTACTACAACCACCACTACTACTACTACAAACACCGCTACTACTACAACCACTACTACTACAACTACTACTACTACAACCACTACTACACTACTACTACTACTACTACTACTACTACTACTACACTACCACCACTACTACTACACTACTACTACCACTACTACAACAACCACTACTACTACTACAACCACTACTACTACTACCACCTGCCACTACTACTACTAAACCACCACCTACTACTACTACAACACACCACTACTACTACTACTGCTACTGCTGCTACCACTACTACTACTACCACCACCACTACTACTACAACCACCACTACTACACAACCACTACACTACTACTACTACTGCTGCTACCACTACTACTACTACTACCACTACCACTACTAGTACTACACAACTACTACTACCACTACTACTACTACTGCAACTACCACTCACTCACTCACTCACTCCGTACTATTGCACCTATATGATGGGGCCGGAAATACTCGAACCTGGACTATATAATCCAGTCATTAACATGATGACAAACGATCCATGCCGTTTGGGCAGGTTGGCACCCTGTCACCAAGTTACCGAGCCTTATATCCCCATACATCAAGTGACCTGTTACGACCAGCAAAGGTTGTTGGTGTCCACGTCCACACAGGGCACATGACAGTACTTTATCTACTGTAAAAGGTATAAGTTTAAGAACAAAACTGAAATATGTTCTGAGAACAGATTCTTTTATTATAACGAAGAACTGACTTGAGACCTCTTTCTGTGAAAGAGTAATACTTTAGTTTAATGCATATTTTCTCTGTGTACAGTGAAAACTTTAATGAAAACGGCACATCTTATTTTCTCCTGAAAGCCGATGAACCCTCACATGACGGTTGAGATCTCGAGGTTATGCGGCTCGACAACAGCGCGGTATACATGTATTGTCTGGAGTACATTCTGTACTGTTCTTCACCTGGACTAACTAGTCTCGGAACTAAACATATTTTACAGAAACAAACCCAGTTCATAATAACAAAAATAGAATATAATGAAAAGGAGCCCCGAGACTTACTTCATTTTCAGAATCTGTTGAAATCTAGACTTGCCGCATAATCCAGACTTGCATGGGCTTTCTAGGATATGTTTGTTTCAGGGTCTGTGTGACAGACTACTCATCACCCAACAGCTGGAGAAGAGCCTCTAAGTGTGCCAGGCCGTTGTAAGGAATCGATCGTTGTTCCTTGCTTTTTGTTTTATACAAAAACACTGACCATTCCGTCAATATTTATTACAAAAATACATGAAATATGCAATAAATAATTGTACAAATTTTCGTTTAACAACTACTTGAAGTAACATGAAAGTGAGATTCACGTGTGTAAGGAGGCATGAGGAATAAATGGAGTGAAACCTTAAATAACACGGCTGCATGCTTTACAGTCAGCGACAACAACACCGGAAGCAGTGTCTCCAGCAAAAAAGAACAATGATGTGGAAAAAACAACCTGCTAGATAAGTAGAAGCATGTGTCAGTGAGAATGGGCATTGTATTGGGGAAATACAACAGGACGTCCTGTGAGAATGGGCATTGTATTGGGGGAATACAACAGGACGTCCTGTGAGAATGGGCATTGTATTGGGGGAATACAACAGGACGTCCTGTGAGAATGGGCATTGTATTGGGGGAATACAACAGGACGTCCTGTGAGAATGGGCATTGTATTGGGGAAATACAACAGGACGTCCTGTGAGAATGGGCATTGTATTGGGAAATACAACAGGACGTCCTGTGAGAATGGGCATTGTATTGGGGAAATACAACAGGACGTCCTGTGAGAATGGGCATTGTATTGGGGAAATACAACAGGACGTCCTGTGAGAATGGGCATTGTATTGGGGAAATACAACAGGACGTCCTGTGAGAATGGGCATTGTATTGGGGAAATACAACAGGACGTCCTGTGAGAATGGGCATTGTATTGGGGAAATACAACAGGACGTCCTGTGAGAATGGGCATTGTATTGGGGAAATACAACAGGACGTCCTGTGAGAATGGGCATTGTATTGGGGAAATACAACAGGACGTCCTGTTGAACTTCATATCTTTCAAAATTCATATCTTTCCTTCCCATTGTCTGAGTTCAAGTCACACAATAACGTGATGTGTGACAAAGTGAAGGTGTCATGGCGTGATACACATCTATAAACATCACAAACACGTCTCGTCATGTAGTGTAGTCTCTGTAAGAAATAATTCAACCCAACAAAGATAAACTTCATAAAACGGTAATCTTCATTAACGTGTGATGAAATTCGAAACCCTCCCAAAGAAGACACATCACAGAAATGCATATGGGAATATGTTGCAATACCTCTCAGTATGGATGCATTATGCCACCCCTAACAGTGCGTTGAACACTGAGATCGCCCGGGACTGTTCACAACCTCTGCGAAATCACGCAATGGGAGATAACTCGAGCACACATATATATGTCGATTCATGGGGCACACCACTATCTGCACGCCTCCACATGGCGATTCTCACACATATTGCTTCACAAGGTGGGCAAACCTTGCAATACTATGTTCTAAGGTGAGAAAAGGCTGCCGCTGATCGTCCATGACGATGTGTAATGGTGTATTCCAAGGACTGCCACATTCAGCCGAATCATTCAAAGGGACGTAACCTTGCTATGTGCTGGCGACAATGACACTAGTCTGTATTGGAGTTCTCCCACAGCATGTACACCATCCAGTAGATGATGTTGAAAGCCAGGAACACCCCGGGGAAGAGATACCGAGATATTTTGTCCATTAAGCGTGCCTTTTGTCTCATCATTGAAACCTTTGACAGCCCACGACGCCCTCGCCCTCGTGCGCCGTTCTGTTTTTCTAGCTGAAATGCCAAAACAAGTAAATAATTATATCCTTGGGTGCAACTCAGGACGAATGAATAAATGGAACAAAGTTATCTAAAGCCAACATGTATATTAAAATTTCACCGAAGCCTCGCATAGAAGCAGTATTGGAGACTCGGCATAAAACTACCCCTATAAAACTACACATGACATGTGTTATCTCGAGAGGATAAACACTACTTCTATGTTTTCGAATTATGGCGTAGCGTTCATATTTCACGTATCAAAAGGAGGGCCGGTATATGGCAGGTCTTAACATATAAAGAAATTCCCACATTTGTCAAAATTCTACAAATACCGACACATCTTTGAACAACTGTCAGGCTTTGCGTTGCGTTTTACTTGAAGAAAAACCCACCACGGCCCCAATATCAGTCCAAATGTACGAACACCGTCCAACAACCTTGTCCTGTGTTAAAAAACAGGGGAAATGGGATCCATGTACGTGAGTGAGTTAATTTTCAGAATAAAGTTGTTATTCGGGCCACAGTGCTTGATCTTTAAGAACATTTACAGCATATCGGAATAAGTCTCACAACTACCATTTACACAACGTGGACATCAAACATTGTCAGCACCTGAAACGATTATGACCTGACAATTATGAATATTGCACGCTGAAATCAGCACCATCTGTTTACCTCCAGCGCCAGTTCCTCGCCCGACACTGACGGTCGGCTGTTTCCGCTGATGGTCTGACGACGTCGTTCCACTCTCGCCATGACGTTGACGTAAGCAAACTCCAATAAGGCTGCAAACACGAAAATCAAACACATGGCCATCCATACATCTATGGCCTTGACATAGGACACACGTGGAAGGCTTGCACGTGCACCGGAACTCTGTGTTGTCATGGTGAGAACAGTGAGGAGGCCCAATGAAATGCGAGCAGGCGTTGCGTCAATGTCCAGCCAGAAAGACATCCAGGATAAGATGACTATAAGAATGCTGGGGACATATACCTGTGCAATGTAGTAGCCGAAGTTGCGGGACAGCTGGAAGTCCCCACGAATGCACGTGTAGTTGCCTGTAAATAGATCAGTTGCAAGTGACTTTATGGTATTTGATTGGCTGATACTTGGCTGAACGGGGCGTGGGGTGCGATCCTGCGCTGGGTCACTGACCTTGTACCGTTATTTACATTTATTTTGTGTGATGAATAAATAGGAAGTTATTCCGGTATCATCGTTGACAAATTCAATTACAAAACTTCACCTCCATATGGTTCGACTTTCTTAGTAAAGTACAGATTGTAGTATTTTTGTTTGGTTGAGTCCCATCCGGGATTCGAACCAACACACTCAGAATCAGGCACCTAATCAAGCGAGTTGTCAAGCGAGCTTCGAAGCCTCCAGACAGATGCTAATCAAAGATTAGATTCAAACCTTTAGAAAAACAAATCACTAAACTCATCAACATCACCTGACAACGACATTAGAATCTATGTCGAAACGTCGCCTTTCCCAAATAAAGAAGTATATCCATAAAATTCTCTCAATTTTTCAGCATAGGTCCCGACATATTAAGCCGGTACTATCTAATCATTGTATACATGTATCAGGTATATTCAATCAGTGTATGACTGTAGGTACACCTACCACTGACGTATGTTTTAGTGCAGTCGTCGGTGGTCCAGCCAATCAGGTCAAACTGAGGTAGGGATAGATCACTCCTTTTGACGATCGGGTTGTCGTGCCACGCGAAGATGACGTTCTTGGTTGAGTAGCTATCTGAAACATATTGTAGCTTGTATAACATACCTTGTTCCTAACCTTAACCTTGTATTATTTCCACGTTTTCATTTGAACACGAACACACGGCCAATGTTTGAATGAAAGATAATGTGGTTTAAGGTGGCATCTTGGAGATAAAGAAATTTGATTTCAACTCAATAAATGATTTGTTTCACAACGACTCTTGACAGGTATATTCCATGCCACCACAGTTCAACCATCCTCGATAATCTCCAGGGTATACGTTCCGATAGATCTCGAGTATACCCTGGTGGGATCTACGGCTCGGCCCGATAATTTTTAGTGGAGATTTATCCGAACGTATACCCTGGAGATTATCGAGGATGCAGTTCAACCAGAAACAAGCTTTCCTAATCATACCCCATTATGATAAGAGACCCGTGAAGATCCGGGGTAGAATAGGTCTTCAGCAACCCATGCTTGCCAAAAACGGCGACTATGCTTGTCGTAAGAGGGGATGGCCTAAAAGTCGGGCCGGGCCGGGCCAAGGCGGGTCTTGGCTCATAAACCCATTAGCGAAAACCATGCCTACAATTAATTAATGCAACATATCACTTCACGGAGTCTCAAAGCGTAGTAGTTGAAGCAAACACCTTGCTCAAAGTGAAGCTCTCTTTTCTATATATTCTCAACAAAGACAGTGTATCACAAGCTGTCAGTCCGGCTTGGCCCGGGCTGTCAAACGCACCTTTAACCCTAATATATAATACTAATCTATGGATATAAACACATTTCAAGATACATGTGTGGAGTTTAAGTTGTTTTTGACAGCACGGGCCAAGTCGGGCTGAACAGAGACTAAACACTTTTGATTGAGGAGTTTGTTTTCCGAGGACTTTTTTTCCTAAAATCGTTGGGAATGGAGAGATAAAAAGGCTATTATTTTACTTTACTTTATGAAGTGGTATTTAGGTAGATATAATACCATTTTGTGTTTCACGTGTATTAGTAAATATAAGCATATGCATACGCGCTGGCTATTTGATTTGTGCTGGTATTGTTTACAATGAAAACATATAAGAATTTTTTGTGTTTGTGAATGCATACCTTGTTTGATCCTTTATAACATATTACAAAATGTTGTGATTTAAAAGATTTATTTTAATATACATAATCATGTCATATTTGCCCATTGACACTCGCCAATATCCACTTCTCTTAAGCATAAACATCCTGTGCTGATTCAGCATGAGGCAATAAAGGTTAATTAGGGAACCCCAATATCTTAATTAAGGAAAGAAAAGCAGTCAAAACACTGTTACTTCCTGCCCAAGACCCCAGGATGTCACACGCTAAAAGAAGTAAGCAACCTTCCCACATAGATATACCAAGGAAAACACATAACAACAAGACGGTGTCTTTTCTACGGGAATCTCGGTATGTAGTCATTGTTGTTGTGTGTTTTGTCATCGTTAACCATACATTTTCAATCAAACTATGCATTTGTGAAGGCAGGATGTGTATCTACCCAAATGTGCAGGTTTCGTTTTAATATTCTGCAATCCATTTTTAGTATTACCCGGTGGCCCGGCCCGGCCCGACTTTTCTTGGCCCGACTTTTAGGCCATCCCTCGTAACAGACGACTAACGGGATCGGGTGGTCAGGCTCGCTGACTTGTCATCAGTTCCCACTTGCGCAGATCGATGCTCATGCTGTTGATCACTGGATTGTCTGGTCCAGACTTGATTATTTACAGACCGCCGCCATAAAGCTGGAATATTGCTGAGTGCGGCGTAAAACTAAACTCACTCACTCACTCCATTATAATAAGTGGTATGTAATTACTCACAACTTTCTAGAAGTATCGAACACACTTGATCATCAAACGGGTATTTTTGTAACTGCATGTCGCAGCTCAGCGTCATCGAAATTCTGAAAGTTAAAGTATTTGCATTAAACACGAACCAACATGAAACAAGACAACTACTTATAGCTAATGTGATGTCAATACGTTATGGAACTGAACCTTCTATGATATGCTGCTAGAATTAATATTCATCTTTGTATGTATTTCTTCATGCCATTTCACAGCAGGAAAACATCGATGCACGACGTGAGTGTATTGATTAGTAATAAAGAAGCATATATTTACATAATGATACCCAAACAGAAGCAGCCTCAGCAGGGAAATCAGCAGTCATTAATATCTCCGGGATCATGAAAGTGTCTTAAGTCTGAAAAATGCTTAGCACGAAATTTGTCTTAAGTTTGGTTGTTTTTGCTTAGCTAAGACTCGTGCTAAGACTGGATCATGAAACGGTCTTAGCAAAATCTTAAGTGAGACTAAGCTTAAGTCTGTCACCATGGCAATGCACGCTCTTCTCAGAATGCTATCAGCATTAGTGAAAGAAAACCACAAGGCACCTGCACGCACATGTCCATCCACGTTAAATAACTAAATATCAACAAAAAGAACGTGTGTAATATTTTCGCGTAAGTGCGGTAACAGCGGAACTCTTCAGCAAACGGAGACGCGAATATTCCGTTGTTTGTAAACACGCAGCTCGTGCCGATGACAGCTCGTGCCGATGACAGCTCGTCTGCTTTAGCAAATATGGACGCAACAAGTAAAAGAAAAGTCAACTGGACAAAGGAAGAGGAGGTAATCCTAGTCGAGGAAGTGACTAAGAGGGAGGGTCTTCTCTTCGGTCGTTTGGACGGAAGCCAAATGAGCACACTGAAGAAAACCAAAGCCTGGGAAGAAACCACCTGCCTCATCAACTCGTAAGAATAACCAAAGTAGCTGGACTAATAGCTCTAAAATACTCCTCAACCTAAATGTGATTTCGACATACGTGCACACAAAAACCTTCTAGTGTTTATTTGTCAAAGTATTATTGAAATATCTTATTCTGAATGATCATTTAGGCTAGTATTTGGACCAAAGACGTACAGTGTAAACAGTGACCATGCATGCAGTGACTGTTAATAATCAAACATGGCTTATCAAACATATCTACGTATCTTGTATACATTTTATCATATAACCTGCACATCCCAGAAATAACAGTCTGAGAGACATTTGTTTGTTGCAGAAGGGGTCGATCTGGACTCAGAACTCTGAGTGAAATAAAGAAAAAGTATCAAAATATCAAACAGAAAGGTAAAATTTATTTTCTGATACTTGAAATCAATTTTATTTAATTTCCATCTGACCAAAATCATTATGTAATATGAAACAGTAATTTAATATATTACAATTAACTGATATGGAACTATCTATATTAATATTGCAAGCTTCACATGACACAACTTCATATCAGAATATATAGTTTATTGTTCAAAAATGCAATTAATGCTTTTACTGTTATTGATGACATCATGTTGAAAATTCTCAGTTATGTACAATTATGTGTGTACTTATTCCAACATGTTATGATTTCATAATGTATTTACAAGAATGTATATTTTTTAGCCAAGGCAAAGAGAAGCTGATATATGAGACCCCCAACAGGTGGTGGACCAAGAGCCAATTCCCAATCTGTACCCGAGCAACTAGTGCTGGATAATTTGGAGGGGAGACCAAGTTTGTGTTCGGTGGTTGGCGGGATTGACACAGAAGGTAAATTGATTGATACAAGTTGTTAAAAATATACAGATAAATATGTAAAAGGTTTGAAATGTAACATCATGAAAAGTAAATACCAATGGTTGAAGTTATTGAAAAACAGAAAAAAAATAACTTTCGACATAAAGTTTACTTTGGTTGGCAATTAGTGATTATGCAATGTGCTAATGAATTTCAATTTCACATATACAGAAAGAATATATGTACACATATTTCCAAATGTTCATTTTACATTTCTAATTATGATACACATGGAATTGGTGCTTGGAACATCTTTAACTCAATTACATGTAATGCTTACGTTCTATTTCTGTTCAATAGATTTGACATAACGATAGAGAAGTTCATGTTTGAAAGAATAAATAATGACTTTAGTATCTATTGTTTTCAGACTTCGTGAATATGTCAGAAACTGCTGAAGCCCCACATGATGAAGCAACAACCACTGAAGTTGATCTGAACTCAGCTGATGATATGACCTTCAGCATCACTGACATCACTGATCTGGACCCAACCAGGATTTCAAGTTCTTTTCTGTGAACCAGCTGGACATGTGAAAGTGTCAACTGAAGAAGAAATACTTAAAGAGGAACTAGAGAAAATGAAGGATTCTAGACAACGGATTAGAGAACAAATACGAGTAGCTATACTGCAGCAAAAATTGACAATATTACAAATACGAAATATTGACCCAACTTTCAGCTTCACAGAATAATATTGCAACTTCAACTCTAAGTAATTATATGTTAAATCTAATGTTTTATAGAAATTAACAACTTTCTTCTGATAAAAGACATGTTCAAGCTCAAAATAACACTGAAAGTTTGCAAAATATCATTACAGTTACGAGCACGTGCACTGGACTCAAACATTTAACCATGTACTGGTATTATCAATTACTATGTCACAAATATCTGTTAGGGCAAATTTTAAATTCATTATTGATAATCATGATCGAAACTGATAAAACAAAATATGTCTGTGCAAAGTTCACCATGAAGCCCTACAAAACAACATCTATATATGTCCAAGATATTTTTAATATCTTGGACATCAATGTACAACTTCTAAATGCCACTGAAAGACAACATCTATATAAGTTATTAATCTCACATATTGATGTATTGACAGAAATAAGCATATGTTATATTGACCATATTAGAGGTAATTCCAAAACATGGTTTTAAACAATATTCAAAATTTAAGAAATAGAGATTGTTACAAATACACAATGTCATTTAGAAACTGGTGAGCATGTAACATATGTTATATTTGGGATTACACTTTCTCACCAAAGTACAGATTATAGTTAATGTGTTGGGTTGAGTCCCATCCAGAGATTAGATGCCTCAATCGGAGGGAGTAGGTTCGAATCCTAGACGATACCAACAATAGTACTAGAATCTATACTTAACTGAGAAAGTGTAATCCCATAACATAACATGTGTTACATAGTGATTGGTACAATTAAGTTTAACCATATGAATAACATATGGTCATAGCTGTTGTAAAGTATCAATTGTAATTTGAAATTAACAATCTTGCAAAAAGGCAGCTGGAACCATCATTTACTGAATATTTTAAATGTCATGCCAACACACATACTTAATCCCCACAGCTAAGTCTGATATTTTTTCTCCAGAATTTATTAAAGTAGTATATCAGTTTTGATATTGTGATTACAGATTCTGATATTCTCTTTTGCAATAGCTCCTGTGTCTTATTGACATCACATATTATCTTATAAGCTAAAAAATATATCCATATCACAAGCATCAAACAAAATATGTTGAAAATAGAAGGTTTTAGGAAAACTGTCAAAGATGTTTTTAATGTTGAAGAGATTATTGTAAAGAAGAATAACGCTCTGCCTTCATTCCATGCAAAGTGGAAACATTTGATCACTGTATTGAAGTCTTAATGTTGTTGTCTCATGTCTTAATGTTGTCTTTTATCAGTACTCATAGTACACAGCTTATATCAGTACTCATAGTACACAGCTTTTATCAGTACTCATAGTACACACCTTTAAAAGTACTCATAGTACACAGCTTATATCAGTACTCATAGTACACAACTTATATCAGTACTCATAGTACACAGCTTGTATCAGTACTCATAGTACACAGCTTATATCAGTACTCATAGTACACAGCTTATATCAGTACTCATAGTACACAGCTTATATCAGTACTCATAGTACACAGCTTATATCAGTACTCATAGTACACAGCTTATATCAGTATTCATAGTACACAGCTTATATCAGTACTCATAGTACACAGCTTATATCAGTACTCATAGTACACAGCTTATATCAGTACTCATAGTACACAGCTTATATCAGTACTCATAGTACACAGCTTATATCAGTACTCATAGTACACAGCTTATATCAGTACTCATAGTACACAGCTTATATCAGTACTCATAGTACACAGCTTATATCAGTACTCATAGTACACAGCTTATATCAGTACTCATAGTACACAGCTTATATCAGTACTCATAGTACACAGCTTATATCAGTACTCATAGTACTTATATCAGTACTCATAGTACACAGCTTATATCAGTACTTATATCAGTACTCATACTCATAGTACACAGCTTATATCAGTACTCATAGTACACAGCTTATATCAGTACTCATAGTACACAGCTTATATCAGTACTCATAGTACACAGCTTATATCAGTACTCATAGTACACAGCTTATATCAGTACTCATAGTACACAGCTTATATCAGTACTCATAGTACACAGCTTATATCAGTACTCATAGTACTCATATCGGTACTCATAACTTATATCAGTACTCATAGTACACAGCTTATATCAGTACTCATATCAGTACTCGGCTTATATCAGTACTCATAGTACACAGCTTATATCAGTACTCATGGTACACAGCTTATATCAGTACTCATAGTACACGAAGCTTATATCAGTACTCATGGTACACAGCTTATATCAGTACTCATAGTACACAACTTATATCAGTACTCATAGTACACACCTTTAAAAGTACTCATAGTACACAGCTTATATCAGTACTCATAGTACACAGCTTATATCAATTGCTCATAGTACACGAAGCATATCAGTACTCATAATTACTACAGCTTATATCAGTATTCATGAGTACACAGCTTATATCAGTACTCATGGTACACAGCTTATATCAGTATTCATAGCATATCAGTTGCTCATAGTACGCATATCATATCATAGTGCTCATGGTACACCATAGTACAGCTTATATCAGTATTCATGGTACACAGCTTATATCAGTAATATCATACCAAGGTACAGCTTATATCAGTACTCATAGGTACACAGCTTATATCATCAGTACTCATTATATCATACCTATATACACACAGCTTATATCAGTACTCATGGTACACAGCTTATATCAGTACTCATAGTACACAGCTTATATCAGTACTCATAGTACACGAAACTTATATCATAGTGCACGGCTTATATCCGGTGCTCATGAGTACACGGCTTATATCAGTACTCATAGTGCAGTATCAGTACTCATGGTTATATCGGTGTACTCATAGTACACGAACTTATATCAGTACTCATAGTACACAGCTTATATCAGTACTCATGGTACACGGCTTATATCAGTACTCATGGTACACAGCTTATATCAGTACTCATGGTACAGCTATATCAGTAATGGTACCAACAATGCTAACTTTATATCCAGTGCTCATAGTGCACGGCTTATATCAGTACTCATGGTATCAGAAAAGCATATATATAGTACTGGCTTATATCAAGTACTCATAGTAACAGCTGTTATTCATGGTACTCAATATATCAGTATATATTTGTACACATCCAAGTTGAATGTACACCTACTGAATTGAAATGAATAAAAATATCTGAAAAAAAAAGAAAAGTCTGATTTCTTTCACAGAATGATTAATCGAAATAGCTCTGGGCAATATGGTCTCTGATACTGAAGCCATCATTGCCCTGAAGCTGCTGCTGTTGCTGATCTGGACCCTGTACGGTCAGTTCATCTACATCATTTATTACAATTATTTATCAAGCACGCTGACAGCTAAATGCTCTCCATGTGACCCCGGATTTATCATTGATTTATGGAAAGGTCAAAGCCATTTGTCACTTGATTGATAAAACAATAAAGGCATAGATGTGCCTCGGGCTTAAATATTGATCTCTCTGTAATGACTGTTGCTATATGAATGTAGTTAGTGAATATAGATATCACACTCTCCTTGCTGTATTCAGAGAGCTAAGTCTCGACATTATATGTGTGCACACATTTGTGGCCTATAATGTACAACTCTGTAAAACATAAAGTGTAACATGTCATCATAGGCATTTGCGAAATCTTAATGAATATGTATTAAACACACACACACACACACACACACACACGCACGCACGCACACACACACGCACACGCACACACACACACACACACAAAAGAATAACGAAAAAAATAAATAATAAAAAAACACACCCAAAAACAACTTAATTAAGCACCCTCTGTATATTTGGAATACATTCAAAATGTCACTTTGAGTGTCACAATTCAAGGTCAATACCGAGTGTAACCTCCATGTGACTGCATGACAGCCAGCACTCTCCCCCTGTCAGCCTCCCGATCTCTGAAGGGGCAGTCTACGCAATTCCTCGTGTAAAGCAGCAGCTTCCAACTGGGCCAGGTTCCTTGTATTGCACGCGAAAACCAATCATGTCTAATATATGTTCTAATGGGTTCAGATCGTGGCTCATTCAATCGTGAGATATGTCAGGGGGTGCTTAACTAAGTTCTTTATGTATATATTGTGCATTTTCAAGTGACTATACATACAAGTGGTTATTGTGGACATTGCGTGGTGTTGGTACCCACCTGGCACTGTACAATACTGTTCCGTTAGGGTACACGTGCATGAGTTTATTTGGCACCGTGATAGAATGAAAGTCGGCTCTCTTCTCATTGGTGAAGAAGAGATCTGGAACCCAGACTTGAGACATGATACGTGTGTCCAGCTCGAGAGCGTCTATATTCGGAAGGGAACCGTATCTCAGACGTGTGTCTTGCCATGTTTGACGCAGGAAGATTGTCAGTGAGTAATCCTGAAACAATAATGTCATGCAGTTGCATAATAGCTACATTAAGTTACATTACAATGAAAGTAATATGAAACGAATGTGCTTTTCCCTGTTTTCTGATCTGTATTATTGATAATGGCAATCACGATATGTAAATCATATTGAATGGTTATGCACATACATATGGAACAGCCACGAGAGATTAATTTCAAAAGCATGATTAGAAACGGTTTCCGTTGCATACTGTTCCACAAGGTCGTGTCCAAACTAGCGGCAGATGTACACGAAGTATCAAAACAAGCCAGTTCTAATGTTCTTCGGCGGCAAATACAGGTCTGGACATAAACATATGTAATATTCATATTTGTTATTTCAATGTTGAAGTGAAATTTCGCTGATATATTTCCCGACAGATTCTACCTATACTAGGCTGTGTTCTCTGTGAGATGGCAACTGTGCATACGGACCCCCTCTTGTGAGATATCTACATGTATATTTCAGATCCATACATATTTACACACAACACATTGACAGGGCCTTGTTTTTTCACACATACGGTTATGAATAAATGAATGGCTTCCACGTGCTTCAGTGATTAGTATTATCTGGCAACGACGCCTTTTATCAGTCGTTTTTCTGCTTTCTATCGCTGTTATGTTTTAAGCATGTGTTTTGAGATTGTAAATGATGATGGGATCAGTCAGCAGTAAGGTCTCATAGGCTACACGCTTGCCGGGCCCGCTGGCCCATAAAACGTGTTTTCACATAGTTGTTACATAATGCATTGGATTTCACACTGCAAACACAAGGGTCCCACTTGGATTGAACGGGCAAATGGAGGTAGACATATATAAGAAATCCATATATGACCAAAGATAAGAATAATATGTAGATATCTTTGTGTGATTCTGAACCCACAAATGAACACGATCAGTTAAAACAGTTCCAATATCACACAGAACAAAATAAGATTATCACTATGATAACATTTCACAAACACTTAAAACATAACAAATACTCAAAGATAAAGGCATGTGTAACATCATGTTGCCTCCACCCTGTGTGTTGTCATGAGGCCTGCTGGCCCCACTATATCCAACAAGTGTCACTCAAAGTGAGAGTCGCCACAAATGTGAAATAATGGTTAGATAATAACACTGAGGCCATTTTATCTGTCAGTTTTTACGCTTTCGCTCACTGTTATGGTTTAGCATGTGTTATTCCATTGTAAGTGTGGATACGATATTTGTGTTAGCCGTAAGGCTCACAAGCTAGATGTATGTTGGGACCTACTGGGATATACAAACGTGTTTTAACGTGTGTAATGCATAGTATATATTTTATACTTGGATCACACGGGTCCAGCCTGGATAGAGCAGGCAAATGGGGACAGAAACACACAAGAGATCAATATATCCATAAGTCAGTACAGCTCCGTGGTACAGCTCCGTGGACAGCAATAAACATTCAGTGTTCTTGTTCAGTTCAAGTGTGCGGTATGAGGCAAAGTATTTCGATTTGTTTTATATTACATTTATACTGGAGGAAAGGATTGGGCACAGTTTGTCACCCGTAGAGCGCCCTCGCATGAATATTTATAGCATCAAATTGAAACATGACAAGAGGCAGATAGACCGGATGGAGAAGGTTATTGTAAAAGGTTGGACCCTGGCAAGATATGACAATGTTGTTTCAGTATTATATGTGTACAACATGGCAATGTTGTTTCAGTATTATATGTGTACAACATGGCAATGTTGTTTCAGTATTATATGTGTACAACATGGCAATGTTGTTTCAGTATTATATGTGTACAACATGGCAATGTTGTTTCAGTATTATATGTGTACAACATGGCAGTGTTGTTTCAGTGTTATATGTATACAACATGGCAGTGTTGTTTCAGTATTATATGTCTACAACATGGCAGTGTTGTTTCAGTATTATATGTGTACAACATGGCAATGTTGTTTCAGTATTATATGTGTACAACATGGCAATGTTGTTTCAGTATTATATGTGTACAACATGGCAATGTTGTTTCAGTATTATATGTCTACAACATGGCAGTGTTGTTTCAGTATTATATGTGTACAACATGGCAATGTTGTTTCAGTATTATATGTGTACAACATGGCAATGTTGTTTCAGTATTATATGTGTACAACATGGCAGTGTTGTTTCAGTATTATATATTTGTACAACATGGCAATGTTGTTTCAGTATTATATGTGTACAACATGGCAATGTTGTTTCAGTATTATATGTGTACAACATGGCAGTGTTGTTTCAGTGTTATATGTATGCAACATGGCAGTGTTGTTTCAGTATTATATGTATGCAACATGGCTATGTTGTTTCAGTATTATATGTCTACAACATGGCAGTGTTGTTTCAGTATTATATGTCTACAACATGGCAGTGTTGTTTCAGTATTATATGTCTACAACATGGCAATGTTGTTTCAGTATTATATGTGTACAACATGGCAATGTTGTTTCAGTATTATATGTGTACAACATGGCAGTGTTGTTTCAGTATTATATGTGTACAACATGGCAATGTTGTTTCAGTATTATATGTGTACAACATGGCAATGTTGTTTCAGTATTATATGTATGCAACATGGCAGTGTTGTTTCAGTATTATATGTGTACAACATGGCAGTGTTGTTTCAGTGTTATATGTATGCAACATGGCAGTGTTGTTTCAGTGTTATATGTATGCAACATGGCAGTGTTGTTTCAGTATTATATGTATGCAACATGGCAGTGTTGTTTCAGTATTATATGTCTACAACATGGCAATGTTGTTTCAGTATTATATGTCTACAACATGGCAATGTTGTTTCAGTATTATATGTGTACAACATGGCAGTGTTGTTTCAGTATTATATGTGGCAATGTTGTTTCAACATGGCGCACAACATGGCAATGTTGTTTCAGTATTATATGTGTACAACATGGCAATGTTGTTTCAGTATTATATGTGTACAACATGGCAGTGTTGTTTCAGTATTATATGTATACAACATGGCAGTGTTGTTTCAGTATTATATGTATGCAACATGGCAGTGTTGTTTCAGTATTATATGTCTACAACATGGCAGTGTTGTTTCAGTATTATATGTCTACAACATGGCAGTGTTGTTTCAGTATTATATGTCTACAACATGGCAGTGTTGTTTCAGTATTATATGTCTACAACATGGCAATGTTGTTTCAGTATTATATGTGTACAACATGGCAGTGTTGTTTCAGTATTATATGTGTACAACATGGCAGTGTTGTTTCAGTATTATATGTGTACAACATGGCAATGTTGTTTCAGTATTATATGTACAACATGGCAATGTTGTTTCAGTATTATATGTGTACAACATGGCAGTGTTGTTTCAGTATTATATGTGTACAACATGGCAGTGTTGTTTCATTATATTATATGTACAACATGGCAATGTTGTTTCAGTATTATATGTCTACAACATGGCAGTGTTGTTTCAGTATTATATGTATGCAACATGGCAGTGTTGTTTCAGTATTATATGTATGCAACATGGCAGTGTTGTTTCAGTATTATATGTCTACAACATGGCAATGTTGTTTCAGTATTATATGTCTACAACATGGCAGTGTTGTTTCAGTATTATATGTCTACAACATGGCAGTGTTGTTTCAGTATATATGTCTACAACATGGCAGTGTTGTTTCAGTATTATATGTGTACAACATGGCAATGTTGTTATGTACAACATGGCAGTATTAACAGTATTATATGTATAAGCAACATGGCAGTGTTGTTTTATATGTGTACAACATGGCTATGTTGTTTCAGTGATTATATAATGCGGTAGTGTTGTTTCAGTATTATATGTCTACAATATGGCAGTGTTGTTTCAGTATTATAATACAACTTATATTGTATGTTGGAAGAAAGCAACATGGCAGTAAGAGTTTCAGGCAGTATGTTGTTTCAGTATTATATGTGTACAACATGGCGGTGTTGTTTCAGTATTATATGTCTGGCAAATACGCAGCGTTGTTTCGTGTATTATATGTACAAATATGGCAATGCATTCTTTCAGTATTATTGGCATGGCAATGTTGTTTCAGTATTATGTTATGTACAACATGGCAGTGTTGTTTCAGTATTATATGTCAGCAACATGGCAATGTTGTTTCCAGTGATATATACGTCTACAACATGGCAGTGTTGTTTCAGTATTATATGTCTACAACATGGCAGTGTTGTTTCAGTATTATACGTGTGTACAATAAGAGCCTACATGGCAATGTTGTTTCAGTATTATATGTGTACAACATGGCAATGTTGTTTTCAGTATTATATGTGTACAACACATACGGCAATGTTGTTTACGCAGTGTTATTATTATATGCGCGCAACATGGCAGTGTTGTTTCCGGTATTATATGTGTACAACATGGCATGTTGTTTCAGTATTATATGTCTGCAACATGGCAGTAGTATTATATGTCTACAACATGGCAATGTTGTTTCAGTATTATATGTCTACAACATGGCAATGTTGTTTCAGTATTATATGTGTACAACATGGCAGTCTACAACATGGCGGTGTTGTTTCAGTATTATATGTCTACAACATGGCATGTTGTTTCAGTATTATATGTCTCTACAACATGGCGAATGTTGTTTCAGTATTATATGTCTACACTGGCAATGTTGTTTCAATATATGTGTACAACATGGCAGTGTTGTTTCAGTATTATATGTCTACAACATGGCAGTGTTGTTTCAGTATTATATGTCTACAACATGGCGGTGTTGTTTCAGTATTATATGTGTACAACATGGCAATGTTGTTTCAGTGTTTGATATATATGTGTACAACATGGCAATGTTGTTTCAGTATTATATGTCACAACGTGGCAGGTTGACAGTTGTTTCAGTATTATATGTCTGCCAACATGGCAATGTTACCAACGTTTCAGTATTATATGTGTACAACATGGCAGCATGTTGTTTCAGTATATATCTGCCAGCGTCTTGTTTTCATGGCAATGTTGTTTCAGTATTATATGTCTACAACATGGCAATGTTGTTTCAGTATTATATGTCTACAACATGGCAGTGTTGTTTCAGTATTATATGTCTACAACATGGCAATGTTGTTTCAGTATTATATGTGTACAACATGGCAGCGTTGTTTCAGTATTATATGTGGTACAACATGGCGGTGTTGTTTCAGTATTATATGTGTACAACATGGCAGTGTTGTTTCAGTATTATATGTTTGTACAAATATGGCAATGTTGTTTCAGTGATTATATGTATGTCTACAACATGGCAGGCAAGTTGTTTCAACATGGCAGTGTGTATTATATGTCTACAACATGGCAATGTTGTTTCAGTGATATATGTGTACAACATGGCAATGTTGTTTCAGTATTATATGTAATCGTACAACGTGGCAGTGTTGTTTCAGTATTATATGTCTACAACATGGCAATGTTGTTTCAGTGTATTATATGTCTACAACATGGCAGTGTTGTTTCAGTGATTATAACATGGCGATGTTGTTACAACATGGCAACATGTTGTTTCAGGTGTTATATGTCTACAACATGGCAGTGTTGTTTCAGTGTTGTTTCCATTATATACGTCTACAACATGGCAGTGTTGTTTCAGTATTATAATATTGTCTACAACATGGCAATGTTGTTTCAGTGTTATATGTTGTTTCAGGTATGCGCAACACGGCAGTGTTGTTTCAGTATTATATGTCTACAACGTGGCAGTGTTGTTTCAGTATTATATGTCTACAACAGTGGCAATGTTGTTTCAGTGTTATGTGTTTCGGTATTATATGTCAACATGGCAGTGTTGTTTCAGTGTTATATGTATGCAACATGGCAGGTTGTTGTATTCAGTATTATATGTCTACAACGTGGCAGTGTTGTTTCAGTTTCAGTATGCATATGTCTACAACGTGGCAGTGTTGTTTCAGTAGTATATGTATGCAACATGGCGACAGTGGACGTCTAATATGTCCAGGGACTTAGACTTGTTCATTTTACAAAACTATATCTCAAATGGGGAGTAAGCCCTGAAAGAACGTTTAGAATGATGCTTACACAATAATGTACTGCATTTGTACCGATGCCCACAGTACTACATAACAAGTTAGTTGGTGAAACAAATATGAACCTGAGTTAACCTGGTTTGTAGTCAGATCAGTTGTGGTGCATCATTGTGTACTCTACAACACCGAACAGCTTGTCACTGTAATATTGACTTTCAACAGTGTGGCTTCAGGCACAGTGATAAAACTCGAGTTTATGTGATCTAAGAATCACAATATGTTGCACTGTTTTCTACAGCTGACACGAGGGCGTATTTAATGTTGTTTGTATATTTACCACATCTGTGTTTGCCAAATAAGGTCATTATCCTTTCACAGGACGTTAATGGCCATCCTTCACTTACTATACCAACCTGGGGCTGTGTATTGGACGGTGTATTGGGTTTTGTTTACAACACAAGGAATTCGATTCGATCACCTCAGTGATTACCCTTTCACACAAATGGATTTCTGCCTACTTCGATCCGAGTAACGGGGCATTTATAGCATCAATATTCTCAAGGTCTAATAATGCCACATAGTATCTTGTGTCTAGTTGGGTTATTCTCCCAACTACTTAAGAGTGGCGGCACAGTTGGCAGCTTACATGTCGACAATGAAGACACATACAAGATAGCCATTGCCGCAGTTCGCAAATGGTGTGATTATCAACGTATAAAAAAACAAATAGCTGGCAACAGACTTTCGAAGGAAGAAACCTCAAACAGAACAAGTGTTATTAACGTAGAGTCGGTGGGAGTGACAACAGAACACACATATCGGGGACAATCGCTGACAACAAACGTAGCTGTTGTAATGAGTGCCGATCACGTCTTCACTAGGCACGTTACTGTTGACTGACTTGGCATATCTTAGTGTTATAACACTTGTATCAGTCCGTTTTAATCGTCTGTATTTGGGGCTTGTGCGGGGGACCCCTCTCACCAAATGCTACAACCAAACTCAATGAATTTGGGAGGTAACGTCTTAGTATGTCAATCTAATGCCATAGATGAGCTGTACGATAACATATTTTAATTGTCAGTTGTTGTGTTGATCAATCCAATGTATTTGTGCATGTGTCTGTATCACGTGTGACACAAAGAACGGGGAACCAGTAATACAACAGGAACACTCTTGTCCCCTTACTTAATTTGACGAATTGCATCAACTGACGACTAAGTAAAGCAATGTTATTGCTCATAAGCGGGTTATAGATGCCGCATATATATATATATATATATATATATATATATATATATATATGACCATATAATATATATATATATATATACCGATATATAACAACATATAATATATGTATATATATATATATATATATGTAATATATAATATATATATATATGTAATAAATAAATATATATGTATATATATATATATATATATATATATATATATATATATATATACATATATATATATATATATGTATATATATATGTATATGTGTATATATATATATAATAATAATATATATATGTATGTGTATGCATAATATGTATATATATATGAATATATGTATGTAATATATGTATATGTATAATATATAATATATATGTATATATATATATATGTATATAATATATATGTATGTATAATATGTATGCATGTATGTGTAATATATGTATGTATGCATGTAATATATATATAGTAAATAATAATAATGTGTAATAATATGTATGTAATATGTAATGTGTAATAATATGATATGTATGTATGTATGTGTATATGTGTAATGTAATATATGTGTATAATGTAATAATATGTAAATAATAATATGTATAATGTAATGTATGTATGTAATAATGTAATATAAAATATATATATATGTGTAATGTATATGTATATATATGTATATGTATAATATGTATGTATGTAAATATATATATGTATGTATGTATATGTATAAATATAAAATATGTGTATATATATGTATGTATATGTAAAATATATGTATGTAAATAATATGTATGTATATGTAAATATATATGTATGTATATATGTAATAATATGTATGTATGTATAATATGTATGTATAATATATATGTATGTATGTGTATATGTGTGTATGTATGTATATGTGTGTGTAAATATAATATGTAATATAATGTGTATGTATGTAAAAATATGTGTGTATATATATGTAAAAATAATATGTGTGTATATAATGTATAATAATATGTATATATGTATGTGTAATAATATGTATATGTAAATATGTATATATGTAATATGTAATATATATATATGTATGTATGTAAATAATATGTATATGTATGTAATAAATAATAAAATATGTAATGTGTGTATGTAAAATATATATGTATATGTAATGTAAAAAATAATATATGTAATAATATGTATGTGTATATATATAAAATATGTGTGTGTATGTATATATATATGTAATATATGTATATATATATAATATGTATATATATATGTAAAATATAAAATATATATATATGCATATGTATGTATAATATATATATATGTATATGTATATATATATATGTAATATGTAATATATGTGTATATGTGTAAATATCTCTCTCTCTCTCTCTCAGTTTGCAACTTACTTACCATAGTCGATTCACTAATGGAATCAAAACTGACGATGTATATCTGCACAGTGACCCGGGTAGCGATGTCTGCAAGAACCAAGAATAGTGGTGCCTAAGATGATTGTCAGACAATCACTTTTAGTTCGGTGGTGATGTCGGGGAAAATAATTGCAAAGCTCATTTTTGAATTTTCTGAGGCATTATAAGATATCAGGACATAGGGATGGTACTTGATAGAGCTTTTTAATGATGATTAATGCTTGATAGGTTAGATGTCAAGAACAAAGGAATGATCTGTGACGACCAAGTGATACTGGCTTAAATTCATATGATATAACTTATCATATATGTATGGCTGATAAAGCACATTTCAGTTTATCCAGGAAACAAGAAATAGAGTACCCATTACAGACCACTGCTTGCCCGTACCCATACTTTCACAAAATCTGTCCTAAGAATTCCAGCAGTAATTACAAAAATTTAGTATTTTACTGAGATTGTCCACCCACGACAGATGGATATCATTCGTAGACATTTACTGATGTTCTCACAAAAACTGCTACATTAAATGACCCTTGCAGCTGATCGACGTTAAAGTAACTACACACAGACACGTTGAAACCAAGTTTAACATCTAGTCTTTGAAATAAACACATTTCACAGAAAAAAAGGGTTCTTAAATAATATTAAATATGATAAAACGGACCCCAGCGACTTTCTTCATACTCAGACCTGAACCTGTGGTAATCTAGACACATATTCTAGACTTGCGGTGATACATCTTTACCTTCCAGTTGTAGACCTATATCACTATTACCGTGTGTCAGGAGGGTATTTGAGAGAATCGTCTTCAAAAGACTGTATAATCATCTTATGAGGGGGCGGTGGGTAGCCTCGTTGGCTTCAAAGACCCGGGTGAATCCCCACATGGGTACAATGTGTGAAGCCCATTTCTGGTGTCCCCGCCGTGATGTTGCTGGAATATTGCTAAAAGCGGCGTCAAACCAAACTCAGTCAGTCCTGTCTGTCAGGATCACAATTTCCTGTGTATATACCAATCAGGATATATACCTCAAGCACTTTTCAACTACTTCAAATATATCATCAAATATGTAAGAAACTAAGTTTCAGGTTAACTTATCTGATGTTATTGCCTGTGAATGTGGTGCGCCATGTGGAAATTCATTCCATTTCTGTTGTAAATGCACTTTATATGATGACCTCAGGAAGTCACAAAAACACTCCACACTAATGTATTCGGTGACCCTAATCTACGATTTGTTTCTTGTCTGTACATCAGTTTATAGAAACTACTAATAGATTTCATAGTTCAATCTATATATAAATAGTAAACTGTACAATATTTGCACATGTATGAGATGCTCACCTTTCCTGCACACTGTATATATTCTGTACATCAGCACTGTATATAAAATGTAATCTATATATAGATACACATATATATACTTAATTGGATTGAAAAAGAAAACAAAGAGCCAATTACACTCCTATATGTTTCATTGATTTCTTCAGGGAGTACATGTGGGAGTGAAATTGGCTCTGTGGTTCTGTTCAATCTATTTAAATATATCTAACTATATTCCTCGATGTCAAGTCTCCACTGTATATTGTTCCTCTCCATGATGTAATACCACTTAAAATGTATTTAGGGAGAAGGTGACAATAAGTGGTGCACTTGTGCCCAATCCCTTTGTCTTTTGGACAATACAATATGCAGGAAGACTTGCATGGTCAGTATTGGGTAGATGTATTTCAGGGTCTGTAGGTCCGACTTACTGGACCCATACTCACCTTCCTCAAAGTTTGGTGGAACGTTAGCATCATAGGTAGCCAGGATCTTCCGTATCGCCTCCTCTCTGAAACAAGGCAATAGTCTTTGATTGACATCTAGAGCTGATACACGTACAAGGGAACGCTATGGCCGCCAACCTCTGCATTATAGGGAACACGACGTTTCGGAGCATATTCCTTCATCAACGAAAGCTAGGAAGCCAAGAGCTTATCTATATACATATACATATACATACCCTCTTTCCTCCCTTTATCTATACGACCGCCTCCGTGGTGTAGTGGTTAGAGCGTCCGCCCGGAGAGCGGAAGGTCGCGGGTTCGATCCCCGACGACGTCATACCAAAAGACGTTAAAATATGGTTCTTGTTGGTCCCTACTTAGTATATGGCGGCGGTCTGTAAATAATCGAGTCTGCACCAGACAATCCGGTGAGCAACAGCATGATCATCGATGTGCGCAGCTGGGAACCAAATGACATGTGTCAACCAAGTCAGCGAGCCTGACCACCCGACCCCGTTAGTCGCCTCTTACGACAAGCATGGGTTACTGAAAATCAATTCTAACCCGGATCTTCACGGGTCCTCCCATTAGTACGTGTTTACCTTTCACTTTAGTTTGCTCTCACATGTACATATCTATTCTTAGCCTTCATTCAACTGATGTCGCGTTCATGGTAGCAGATAAATTAACATCCATCACACCCATGTAAGTCTTTACATTGTCCCAAACACTTGCATTGGTATTTCCAGAAGAGCAATTAAGGACTGTTTTAGACCACTTAAATGGTTGAGGAAAATGGTGATGGAAGCTCTTACTACATTTAGAAGTCAACATAATTAAGTGTTAATAACATACATTCCAATATACAATTTCAAACAATTTCTAATTTGCATTTGTAAGAGACCCCTGATCGATGCTAATGACTGTATAATGTTTCTGTTTCCCATGAGATCACGTTAGCTTCACGTCAGCTACTTTCTGCCATGTTGTAAAGTAGAGGCTTGGTTCAGCTCCCATGACAAGCGAGGGCCTCGGGCGATGTCACTGTATGATCATGTATGACCTGTAAACCTATGTGCCTCTATGTATTTAGATGTGCATCTGTTCAGGAGGAAATGCTATACCGCACTTTCAGATGTGGATTAGGATCCATATGAATAACTCCTAGACTCAAATCTAGTCTGTAAAATGAACATGTTTTACAGAAAAATACTGTTGATAAAAAATAATCATAAAATGATATGAAAAGGAGGCCAGAGACTTTCTTCATTTTCAGAAATCTTGACTTACCAAATATTCTAGACTTGCATGGGCTTTCTTGCAATTGGATATATTTGTTTCAGGGTCTGTATGGCAGGCTAGAATAATACCTTGCCGCTATAATCATTTTCGCATCTTTGAACCAAATGACTTGCCGAAAACACCAGATCATTCCTTGTATCAATTACTGTATTTGCACCTCATTACCATGTAATTATCCAACATCCGGGGTTAGTATGCATAACAACATCAGATACTAGATGTGACCCCACAAAGGATCGCAGCTCCACTCTTGGACTGAATGGTAAATCAGTTGGTCACCTACACTGTGTCCTGGTCAATATTGGAATGATCTCTAACATCAAGCCTCCAATATAGTCTGTGACGCCTTTTATCAATAAAGTCATTAATTTAGACCACAATGATCTATCAACATACCCACGGTTAATTATTAAAGCAGTGTTTTACTCATGTACAGACGCTGTACGCCCTGGGATGCATCCCGTCTACACCATAAACACGTTGTGTATTTACACCCCCTTGTATGGACAAAGATATAAACGTTGACTAAGTAATGACTGGTGGCATGTGTCTACTGGGGACTATCTTGTCTGGTAGTCCTAGGGGCGAAGTGTTCTACCACTAACTACAATCACCTCAAATAGGCACCACGGTGACAATGGAACAAGCAAGGATGTAGGTATGTACGCTTATATTGGTGTCTGGCCGAAAACGAGGACATGATGATTAAGTGATACACAATACAACTGAATGAAAAGTATCGATACTGTCCGCTTGAAATATTTAAACAAGAAATCACTGAGAACAAGACTATTTGCGGTACGCTGAAGTGCAGAAAGTGTACATGCATAACACCTGTGCTAGTCGTTATTTATTGAGTTAACGTCCGAAACTAAGTTGACCAAAAGGTTTTGATAAATATTCATGTTAAATCCCCAAAACTGTCAAACGGTATTTATATTTTTTAAAACATATGCCTAGATATAGATGTATATAAATATGAAGTCATAAACCTCCGACAACGGATCCATATGAACTTCAGTAATAATATCACCCACGTCATCAGATATACCAGTTCACTGACCTCTAAACCCACTCCTGATAAAAGTCATTTTCTCATTACGCGAAAGAACTAGTGTCAATATTTCACTAAGTGTTGATGCCAAACGGCTGATTCGTTTATAGGACAGAATGGCATACACAAAATCGACACAGAGAGGTAGGTGCACCATCCATGTTCTGCCGACAGGTGTAGGTCTGAGCCTGGCACTGCGGACATAGCTCCATACACATGGTACCAGGAAGTAGCTCTGGTCACTCATCACTCTCACTCTCACACACTCTCACTCTCACACACACACACACACACACACACACACACACACACACACACACACACACACACACACACTCTCACACACACTCACACACACACACACACACACACACACACACACACACACGAGCGCGCGCCGCTGATGTCCACCAGTATGGATAACAGCAAATGGTAATACTAGAACATTTACAGTTACACAATACATGAGTCATGTTGCCACTGAAGCTCGAATATCGTCTCTTGTTACTTAATAATGTCCTCATATCAGCTGTTCGCTGACAATATATCCACATGTCTGCCCCCAGGTGATGTATCTTTGTATGTAAGGACATCAATAGGCAGGTCTTGTAGTGGCTGTGTAGTCTGGTGTTCCAGGGATGGTATTAGCACAACGGTCAGCACAGCACTACCTCTTCAAATATGCACACAAGGAGTGTGACTGATAGCATGTTTTCGGAGGACGATCAATTAACTTGGCAACAGCGCGGGCAGTTTTGGGGGAGAGGGTTTTCATATGACGCAATGTGAAAATGATAACCAACATGATTGTAATTTGTAAATGAAAATTAATAAGCGAACTGTATAGAAATATGCAACAAACACGATATATTGGATTGTCTGCATGGCAGTAGCTTCATGAAAAGGAGAACATTAAGCAGAACAAGAACAGATGGATGGAAACTGAACACTTAACATATAATGACCAGCTTTCATTTTTTAATTAGAGAGGAGCATGAAAATACATTATCAGATGTAAGGAAAGCTTCATTGAAGAACCCCTTCCGGGACAATAGACAACTGATAACTATAGATGTATATAAAAAAACTACATTAATGAAAGGTGAAGGACTTTATGAACATATTCCCATGCAAGCTGATTACCATGGAATGTCGGCGTGATTGACACATTTCACTGACGGCCAATTACTATTGTCAGTTATATCATTAACTAAGATCGGTAATGCACCGACTGCACTGGGGATAAAGTTAATCTGTCGCTTTTTTTAAACACGCTTTCATGTATATTCGACATGTAAAGTGATAAATCAGGTTTTAGGCTATATATCAATGTATATACATAACTGATAGTAATATAGGTTCCTACCCGCTTCGACCATCAACTACCCCCGGAGGGGCGGGACGGGGGATATGTGTTTGAGACAGAGATGTTCTATTTCAACCCGACAACAGGAAAACTATAAATAATAGCATCCGTACTGTTATACATGAACATGTCACATTGTACGTATTACGTACATACAATGTCAGTCCATGTCTAATAAATGCTGACTTCAAATGTTTTCCTACAGAGTTAGCTGTTTGGCTTGGTTTTCTACAGAATTCTACAGAAACTCTCTATCTGGATTTATTTCCAGCTGAACTGAATGCGGAAGTAATATGTGAACACACGTACATTTAGAAAGAATGTAACCTCAGGAAACAAATATACATACTGTGTCAACTTAGCAACATATGAAAACATGGATTAATCCACAGCATGCAAGAATATTGCTACATAATGCTTACGAAGGATGAACTGGGTTTGCGACAAATTCATCATGGTTGGTTGTAACCCCGAATACACCGCTACAACACAGGGCTAGGATGCTGGTGCCGACGATGAGGATCATTATCAGGGTGTATGTTCCTTTACTAGTTCAGAGTACTTGTGGAGCGACCTGAAGAGGAAGAACGTTCCTTGGTGACTCCACCACTCCAGTTACCGGGCAGCTGTAGCTTATTGTAGGGGTAACGTATCCAGGAACCAAGAAATCAGCCATGAATGAAAGAAGATCCAGGCTTCCAAGGAAGACACAGAACAATGAACGAGTGTTTATGTATCACCTCTTCTCCTTGCCCTAAGTACAAATAGTTCGTCTAAATATAAAAACAAAGCTGTCAGGGTCCTGGCTCGCCGTGTAGTGAATTTCTATCTTCGTCAGCTGTAGCGTAGTGTGATCCATTCACCGCCTGACTGGAACACCTACATCAGCACATCAGTGGCGGGTCTGCCAGAACAGTAGCAGCCGCTGTGCAGCGTACATTCAGGCATCTGTTACAGGAGAGAAGCCCCGTCTACAGACAGCATACCTTCAGCCGTGGTGAAAATACTGCAACTGTTCACTATATCGACTAACTATTACATTTAGAAAGTCCTCAGTCGTACCGCCACCGACATCAATCTAACAGCCTCCAGAGTATTCACCCCAGTCTGATATGGCTGCTAGATTCACCAGAAATAAAAAGATCTTGAACCGACCTTGCACATACAGCATGCTATATAATAATGGCGCAATCTTGATACCACAATTAAAGGGGCAATCATGCCTGTCTGGCTTTCATAATAGCTCCATATGATAATGTTATTAGCCTTGCGTTAACACCAGTTCAGTTATCTACTTATTAATCATCGCCCTTATAGTCAATCACAACTGACAATCTATATCG